GATGGGGGTAGGGGGGTGGGGAAGTGTGAGTTCCTTTCTGATCTCGGTGCCCGTCTCCGAGGGCGAGGGAGGCTCCCAGACGGGGTCTGTCATCCCGATGTCTGTGCTCCGGTTTCAGGGTGAGTTTAATTCTGGCTGTATCCTCTACGGCACGACCAAGTACAACTCGACGGCAAAATCCCTGGAGGTGGAGCACTTTGGCAACGTCACCCTCTGCGGCTTCGTCAGCGCCGTCTCTGTGGGCATCGCCATCTACTGTTTTTGCACAGTCTTCTACTTCATCTATGCCAGTTGCATTGAGGAAGCAAACAGGTGAGTGTCATTGCGACTGTGCTTGCTCAGCGGTGACTGTTCGTGGCAGAAGACCCCCCCCCCCCCCCCCACCACCACCACCTCACGGTGAGATGTGCCCCTCCCTCAGCTGTAAAATACAGTGCACCAGTTCTCCGGGACCCATCTGACCAGCCCCAGCCGCCTCCACCCACAGAGAGGGCCGCGGCCGCACCCGCACCTCGGCACTGGCTCTCCATCGGTGCAGCCCCCCCTCCCCTCAAAAGGTGCTCCATAAATCCGACCCCTCCGACAGAGATCGGGTCTGGACGAGGTGAGACGTTGCGTGTTCTCCTCGGCACTGCTGCCTTCCGACGGCGCTACAGCAATGCACGTTCTCCTCAGGTCGCCGTTGGGCAGAGTGGAGCGCAGCTGAGAGCCAGGGCCTTTCACGGAGGCTGATTGATCAATTATTAGAGGATCGATCGATATTAGCAACATGGGGAATAGAGACGAGGAGGCCATTTGGGCTCATTCAACCTGCTAGCCCCCTTCAATATGATTGCAGTGAATCATCCAACTCCGACCCCTGTTCCTGCTTTCCCCACCTATATCCTTTTAGAGAGAGTCCTTCAGGCTAAAGGGATTGAACTGCTCCTTGCAAACACTCAATGTTTCATCTTCGAGTGTGGCAGAGAATCCCAGAGGCTCCCCACTCTCTGGGTGAAGACATTTCTTCCCATCTCAGTCCAAAATGGCACACCCACCAATCCTTAGACTGTGACCCCCTGGTTCTGGATTCTTGGGTCATCAGGAACATCCTTTCCTGTGTTGATCCTGTTAGAATTTTATAGGTTTCTACGAGATTCCCCTCGTTCTTCTAAACTCCAGTGAATATCATCCTTGATGATCCAGTCAGTGTCTGATCTAGTGAACTGATCACCTCTGACCTAGGTTGTGGTACAGGATTTGGCGGGGGAGGGGGGAGAAGAAAGGGTGAGATAGGGAGGGGCAAGGTGGGGGACAGATGGATGAGATGGGTGATAGGCTATGTGGGGGTGGGGAAGGAATAGAGGTTGGAGGCAAATGGGGGAAAGATAGAGACGGCGGGGGTGAGAAATGGGTGGAGTGGGGAAAAGACGAGGGGTGAGGGGATGGGACGAGATGGGGGTGGGGAGAGACTGGGGAGTTTGTGGGGGAGAGATGGGTTGGATGGGGAGAGACGGGGGGTGGAGGGGGTACTGGGGAGGGGATGGGGAGAGACCAGGGAGGTAGATAGGGAGAGCCGGGGGATGTTTTGGGAGTGGCGGAGGGGAGAGATGGGTTGGATGGGGAGAGACGATGGAGATTGGGTAGAGATGGACGGGATGGGGAGATGGTTGGGGGGGGGGAGGGGG